TCTTCCCATTTTCTGATGCACGGTGGTGCTAGGAGGTATCTGCTTGTTATCAGGATAGTGTATATTTGTGAGATGGCTCGTGGTGGTTCTTTGTCCTGTGTGCAGAAGTTCTCGAATTGTGTTGGTTCCCTCGTGATTGCCGGTCTTTGCGGGATGGATCTGGCGTATTTGGTGATTTGTGCTCGTGCTAGGATGTGGGCAAATGTGTGTGGTCTGCCTGGGTAGATGTCTGCCAATGGTCGGATTTCGAACGGGTGGCAGAGGAAATCTTTTATGCGGGGTACCCCTGTCTGTCCCGGCGGACCTGGTGTGGGGCCATATTCCCCTGCTGGGAAATCTGGGTTTCCCTTTAGGGGCAGGAGCGGGCTTGGGTCCGTTGTCAGGTAGTGTTTTGTGCCTTGTCCGTGCCATATTTGCATGGTTGCCGCCACGAACGGGTTGGTGATATGTTTGCTCCCGTATGTTGTCTTGGGGATCCATGGTAGGGTTCTGAGATCGCATCCGGTTGTGTCCGCTTCTAGTTGTGTCCATGGTTTTGCGCCGCTGGCTACCGACCAGCAGATTATTCTGGCGATGTGTGCTGCGTGGTAGTACTTTTCAAAATCGGGAAGTGCCAGGCCCCCCCTGAGCTTGGGCAGGTTCAGTTGGGTATGCGCTATGCGCGGGGATTTGCCCTTCCAGATAAAAGTGCGAACTTCTGCCTTAAGTGTCGCGAAGAATGTTTGTGGGGCTCTTATCGGTACCGTTTGGAATATGAAGAGTAGCTTCGGTAATAGTGTCATTTTCACCGCGTTCACTCTGCCCAGCCATGACATGTAGTAGGAACCCCATCTACGTAGTTCCTCCTTTGCCTTTTGCAGAATCGGCAGGTAGTTATGGGTGTAGAGGTCCCCCGCATCTGGTGTGAGCCAGACCCCTAGGTATTTCATTCGGCGGTCGCACCAGCGGTAGGGTTGTTGTCTCTGAATTGTTTGCTTGAGTGTGTTGCTGATGTTTATGTTCAGTATTTCCGATTTCGAGTAGTTGATTCGGAGGTTCGAGATGCGGCCGTATATGTCGAATTCCGTCTGTATCGCTCGTAACGATTTTTCTGGGTCAGTAACCACGAACAGCATGTCGTCTGCGTACGCCAGGGTTTTGTGGTGCGTGTTTCCGACTGTCAGCCCTCGTACGTCTGCGTTCTGTCGGATCCTGCTCAGGAAGGGTTCCAGCGTCAGCGCAAAGAGTATGGGTGAAAGCGGGCAGCCCTGTCTGGTTCCGTTGTGGATCTGAAATGGGTCTGTCAGTGCCCCGTTGATCCGAATTCGGGCCGTTGGGTCCGTGTAGAGCGCTTGTACCCAGGTTATGTAGTGTGGGCCTATGCCCAGGTGGCGGAGTGTTTTGAACATCAGACCCCAGTCCACCCTGTCGAACGCCTTCTCCGCGTCTGTGGACAGGAGCAGAACTGGGGTCTTCTGCCCTCTTGCATGTGCTATGAGGTTTAAGGCTCTGATTGTGTTGTCCTTCACCTCCCTTCCTGGGATAAAACCTGTTTGATCTGAATGGATTATGGTCGGCAGGAGTGGCGCCAGACGTGCTGCCAGTATGCTTGCCAGAAGTTTGAGGTCCGTATTCAGTACGGATATCGGTCGATAGCTTGGACACAGCGTCTTGTCTTTGTCCTCCTTTGGGAGGAGGGTGATGTTCGCCGAGGTGAATTGGGCTGTTGGTGTGGCTCCGTCTTGGATCGAGTTCAGGGCTTTCAGTAATTTTGGTAGTAGGTCCGTTGCGAAGGTTTTATAGTATTGTAGGGGCAGGCCGTCTGGGCCTGGAGCCCTGCCCGTTTTCGCTTTTTTGATGGCGTATGCCAATTCCTCGGGTGTTATGGGGGTCTCTAAGGCTTCCTGGTCTACCTCCTCTATTCCTGGTATATTTGCCTCGTCTAGGTATCTGCGTATGTCCTCAGCTCTTTGTGGCCTCTGAGGTTCTTGATTCGTTTCACGGAGACAATATAGATCCTGGTAGTAGTTGTGGAACGCTGTCGAGATCTGGTCCGGCAGGTGTCTGAGTTGTTGGTGTGCGTCTTTGATCTTCGGAATGTACAGTTGGTTGCGGCGTTGCCTCAGGAGGTTCGCTAGTAGTCTCCCACACTTGTCCCCGTGTTCATGGATCATATGTTTGTAGTGTTGGTATGAGCGTTGGATTGCGCGGTTCAGGTGTGCGGTGAGTTGGTTCCGTTTAGTCGTGAGTTCCTCGTATACCGTCATATCCATGGTGCGTTTGTGTCTAGCCTCCAGTTCCCCGATTTCCTTACTGAGTGCTTGTATCATCTGTGTCGCCTTCTTTTTGCGGGTCGCGCATATCGCGATGAATCTGCCTCTGATGACCATTTTGTGTGCTTCCCAGCATGTCAGTGGGGTGACGTCATCCGTCTCGTTGTCTGTGAAGTAATCCTGTATGTGGTGATTGACTTGGTCTATGACCGAGACGTCTGAGAGAATCGATTCGTTCAGTCGCCACGACATTTGTCTGGGTTTGTATAGTGGCGACTTAATCCGTATGCGGATTGGGCTGTGGTCTGACCAAGTCATTGGGAGGATTTCTGCCGCGGTGAGCAGGGCTAGGTCCCGGTGAGGTACTAGGAAATAGTCGAGTCTTGTATACGTCGAGTGTGTCGTAGAATAAAAAGTATAATCTCGTGTAGTTGGGTGTAGTGCTCGCCAGCAGTCTGCCAGCTGGTGGAGGTGGAGGAGGCGGAGCGTGTTGGCGTGCCTGTTGATCAACCTGTGTCCGCGTGCCGAGGTGGAGTCTTGGTCCGGGTGTATCGCCAGGTTGAGGTCCCCCCCTATGATCAGGGTGCCTTCCGCGAATTTCATCAGCGTGGTTAGTGCTCTTCGGAGGAAGTGGTGTTGTTTCGTATTCGGGGCGTATATGTTGGTGAACGTGTATGTTTGGTCCTTTATTTTGCCTTTTGTAAAAATATATCTGCCATGTTTGCATCGGACGGTGGCTTGCTCCTCGTAAGGGACTCGTCGTGAGAAGAGGATGCAGACTCCCAGTGTGCGTCTATCTTGGTTGTGGCTGAAGTATCCTATTGGGTAGTTGCGGTCTTTTAGGGCTGGTGCTCTGCCCTCCTGGAAGTGCGTTTCTTGGATGAACGCTATTGTTGCTTTGTAGTGTTTTAGGTCTCTTAGCAATCTTGTGCGCTTCTCCCTAACATTTAGGCGTCGCACATTGTAGGAGACTACACATAGGTCTTCTCTTGCGAAGCCGTTGGGTCCTTGTGCCTGCATCCTCACAGCGGCCCGGAGGGGCAACGGAGGCGGGCGGGGCCTGGGTGTGGGTGTGTGTGTAGGTGTGCGGTTCAGTGCTGTCTTATTGTTGTTTGGGCTCTGGCTCCGTCTTAGTGGGCGCTTGCTGTTGGTTGTTTTGAGGGCGTGTAGGGTAATGGACAGGTGTCCCGGTTGTTCGGCCTATAGGTCTCACCAAGTGGTGTGCCTGTGTCGTTGCCGGGTGTAGTACGTCCCCTTTGGAGTGGGGATATTTGTGTCCTATGCCTATTGGGGTGTCGGGCTTTATGCCCCGGTGTGTCCGGTCTGCCTTGTGACGTCCGTCCGTGCTGTGTAGGTGAGGGGTGTGATACCTGGTTCGGTATGTAGGGTGTGGTCGCATGTCTCCTTAGTGGCTATGATATTGGAGCATCCGCTCCCTCTCTTCGGTATTGTGCTTGTATGGGTCATCTTTTGGATTGCATGCGTGCTACTGTCTGCCGCGGTGGTGTGTCCTAGCTCGTGTATGTTTTTGTCTCACATGTGATCTCGCTACGTGTGTTCCTATCTGGGCGCGTGTCCGTTGCAGTTCCTGGTCAGGGCCTCCCTATTATCCGGGCCTGTGAGTGGTGTCATTCTAGTGGGGTAACTTGGCTGGTGGCGCTATCTTTCTGCCTGTGTCCCACCGACTGTATGGGCGTGATGTGGGTGTGGGTCCAGCGTGTCTGGGTGTCAGTCCCTGTATTCTCCTATTTCCCGTGGTTCCAGCGTGGCTAGTTGTTTTAATTCCTACTCCATCTCAGGCTTCTGTTTGGTGTCACCTGTTGTGTCTGTGGGTTGCCTGACGACAACGTGTGTGTGGTGCACGTCGTATGTGGCATGTCGTCCCTGCGCTAGTGTGATGGGTGGGGTTTCCTTGGGCCTTTCTCATGTTGGGTTCCCGGTGGTTCATCTCGGGTGCTTTCCACTCTGCCTATGGTTCCTTTGGTGTCTATGCTTAGCGTGTATCTGTGGTTTGCTTGCTAGTAATTTTGTCGGGTATTGTGCCAATGGATTTTGCCCATGAATTATTATCGCAGGTCCCCTTCTGTCTACCCCTGGCTCCCAGTACCCTCCTATTGGCTTGGCCCACTCGTCTCTTTCTCGTTCGTCCCCCCCACCTCTGTGTCCGTGTTTGTGCGCTGTGCCCCTCTCTTTCCCTCCCCTCCCCGCATATGCATGAGTTGCGGTACCGTGTTTGGGTGCGTGTTTTTTTTTTTTTTCCCCCCTTCCCCCTGTGTGCGTGTGATCCCCCTTCCCTTCCTCCTCCCTTTCTTCCCTCTTTTCAGTGGACATTTCCCCTTATGACCCTCCCTCCGTTCGTTGTGTTGTGTCTTTGTTGGCGTCTTCCGGCCAGTATTGTGTCCCATGTTGTGACACCGCCACGTTGCACTATCTGTGCGCCTGTCTGGATTATGTCATGCCGGAGCTAGAGCTGGATCCCGTATCCCACCCAAAACGTCCTGTTTTGTCCTCCCCATGGCCCTGTCAGCGGGCAAGAAGGTTCCTCCGCATGAAGCTCTTGCCTTGACAGTCCCTTCAGTGTTTACTTCGTTCCTGTTCCCCCTTGCCACCATCTCCCTCCCCATCGTGTGCCGGTGTGGTTGTTATAGTGTCTTGTGTCACCCCAAATAGTACTCACAGTTTGCCCTTAGTGTCCTGCTGCAAGTTGGTCTCCGGACTGTCAGCCCCTCCTCTCAGTGTGGTGCTCTGTTAGTTCTCCTGCTCCCGTCGTGCCGGGCCCGGGTTCCAATCTCTGCGTCGCTGTTGCTGAAGTCTTGGGGGGCCCTGGTCTGGTCTGCGCGGCTGTTGCGGTCCAGGCGGTGATTGGAGAAATGAGCTTGCTAGCCAGTCTTGTACGTGGATCGGTGGGATGCCCATGACTCGAAGGAAACCAGGGAGGTCACCTGGTTTCTTCACCGTATGTTGATCCTGGCCGTGTCTAGCTGAGAGTGAGAATGGGTAACCCCAGCGGTATGGTATTCCTGCCTGTTGCAGGGCGGATGTTACTGGGCGTAGCGCTCTTCTGGCTTGCAGGGTGTATCTAGATAGGTCTTGATAAATCGATATGGTTTGATTTTCGAAGCGTATGGTTCCCATGCGTCGGGCCGTGCGCAGGATGTCTTCTTTCAATTGGTAGTTTTCTAGGCAGCATATGATATCTCTTGGTTGTTCTTCTGGTGGCGGCATTGGTCGCAGCGCCCTGTGTGCCCTTACTATGCCTAGTCTGGGTATTTGCTGGCCCCCCAGTACCTGAGCGAACAACCTCTTTAGGGTGTCAGGTATGTGTTCCGCTGGGTCACCTTCCCTCACTCCTCGGATGCGCAGGTTCAGCCTGCGGCCGCGGTTGTCCAGGTCGTCTACCCACGTGGTGAGGCTGGCTAGGTCTGCTTCCTGGCTGGTGACTGTGGAGTTGGTGTGTTCCAGGTCTGTGCGGAGCGCTCTGGTCTCTGACTCCGCTACTGACATGCGGGCCTCCACGTTGGGCAGGTCTGCGCGTAGCTGGGCCACCTCCTCCCTCACTACCCTGCCCAGGCGGTCTGACAGGGCCTCAAAATCTGCTTTAGTTAGTAAATTTGGCAGTATGGCCCTCCACTCTCCCTCCTGAGTTAATTGTGGCTCTGAGCTGAATGAGGGTGTGGGTGACAGTCTGGCCGGTGTGGAGGGGAAGGACTCCATGCCCTGGCTTACCTCCTCCGTCTCCCGTTGTGGGGACCGCGGGCGGGCCGTGGCTTGAAGGTAGGAGCAGATGGATTGCTCCCCCTCCCTGCCTGACGACCTCGGGGTGCTGCTGGAGTCCGTGGGCTTCCGTGTGCGACCCATGATTTGTGCGTGGTCGAGCGGTATGCGCTGTTTTAAGCGTCCATCTTCCTCGGCCGCCGGACACGCCCCCTACTGTTTGTATCTGATGACCGAGCTCTTGCTGCAAAATGGCTTCTTCCGAGTAAAGAATGCACATCCCATGACACCTCCTGAGAACTTTACTTTCCAACTGGCTCCTTCTCTGCCACAATCCTTGAGATGGAGTCTTTTTCTAGAGATGTTGGCACATTCTTAACCCTTGTGAGTTGCACCATGACCTGGACAGATAAGAGCATAATCAGGAAAGACAGGACGTGGAGAGATACAGATAAAAATTATAGATCAGAAAGCAGTACTTGAAAATGGGAAAGCCAGGCTCTTCAATAGGTCAAAAACAGGAAATCAGGCTCTTAAAGAGGTCAAAAACAGGCATGAGGGGATCTCCATATTGAATTGTCATATTTCATCTAAGCTCCATGAAGAAAATTGAGTTTTATATAGTTGGAGAGTTTTTTGCTGTCATCTGTAGGCTCTATAGCCTCTATTGATTACGTACAATTTTATGGGCTCAGCATACAAGCTGTTTGGAGGCATTTCTGATCAGTTAGAGCAGTTTCTGCTGATGCAGTATAAAGGCCTACCTGCAGATTGGTTGGCCTGGAAGTCAAAGCTTCTGTTCTGTTTCCCGATCCTTCCTTCCCTTTTTCTGGTAAGGGTTATCCCAGCACCTATCATTGCTGGACTTTGTTAACTCTGTGTGTGCGAAAGTTGATCAATGCACAATACGTCATAACACAGATGTACACTCTAATATTATGGTGAAGCTGACTTTTGGGCCAAGTTCAACAGCAGACTCTAGCTCTACAATACTTCTACAACCACAATAATATGACTCTTGTCCATCGTATGCCTCTACGCGTGGCAGGACACCTACCTTACATTGGATGACTCAACGAGCTGGCAGTTATCCTCTCAACTGGAAACCTCAGAGGCTACTGTGCTTCCAGCAATTCTGGCGTAAACATCACAATAGCTCATGGAGCAAAGAGACTTGGTACACATCTTACCTAGCAAATTGTCCCTCATCAGGGCCTAGAATTTCACTATATTTGGAGAGCTTGTGTTGCCATCACTCTCTCTCGAGGTGCCTACCGGCTCCTGGACTTATGGTACCCTGGCCTAAATGTACATTGCGGGACTGCACCTTGTGCTCGATGGATGTTGAATGATCTTGGCATGGGGAGCAGGAGTACCAGCTTGAATGGTTGTACTTTTCCACTATGCTCATGTGGATAATACTCTAGCACCTACACTTCGTGCAGCTCGGATATACAGCATGGATCATAGTTGATGCTGAACTTTATTATTGTATAATTTATGATTACTACCAGTGCATAAATCGCTGTCTATCCTCTTATGTTGGGTCTTTTCGTCATCTAATTTTTCACTCTTTAACCTAAAAACCTAATTAACCGGGTTGTTGATTTTATTATGTTAATCAGTTATTGTGCATAATGATGTTGGCACTGTGTCGAGTTATGTATCCTTCATGCTAGTAAATTAAGTCACTAATAGGAGAAAAAAAAGATGTCAAGAACAGAAAGGGCAGACTGTTAGAAAGAAGACAGGAAGGCCATTAGAATACAGTCACCATTATTATCAGACTAGCAAGACCCTTCAAGGACAGCAAAGCTGTGGGAATAGTGACTCCATATAGGTCTGAAATTGAAATAGCACATTACCGTGTTTCTCCGAAAATAAGACCGGGTCTTATATTAATTTTAGTCACAAAAAACACACTAGGGTTTATTTTCAGGGTATAGCTTATTTATTTACGGTACCGGTATGTACATTGAACAACATTTAAACAACTTTTCTCCACCCCCTTTAATTAATCCACCCCCCTCTTTAATAAATCCACCCCCTCTAATTAATCCACCCCCCCTCTAATTAATCCACCCCCCCTCTAATTAATCCAGCCC